TATAGCAACATTATTAAATCCTATAATAGGTAACAATTAAAATATTTTTTAAAAAACATTCTAACATTTAAAAAAATTGTTGCACAATCTGAATATGTTTACAGTTTAATATACGGTTATACACTCATCATTTTAATTGTATCGTTATAATTAGACTTATTTGCAAAAATATGAGACTACCAAGGATAATTATTACAGTTAGCGAGCTTGGCAAATTATTCAACGGTATTATCCAAACTGTATAAATATGCCATATATTAAATATAATTTAAGCATTATTAAAAAATAGAAGCAGATTTTATTCATTAAGAATACCTAGTTATGATTCAATGAAGGTTATTGAACGTAACATATTACCCTTGTTTATATTACTGAAGAAAAAGCGTGAAAAAATAAAGATAATTCAAGCTTATTCACTATCAGCACGGTACAGGGATAGGTCCGTGTGTCCTGCACAAGGCTGTATCTGTATAGGTCTTTAATAGGATGGGAGCACAGTTTCTCCGACTCTAGCTTTACTTATTGCAGAGTCAGTACCAAAAACTTGATACAGGTTGAGCTTTTTCACGTAGCACTTGCCACCCATATATCGTGTCAAGGGTCCTGTTGTAGTGCGGATGCTCTTTATTGCTGCTAAATATTACCAGTCCCTTGTGGTTTTAGAATTAGACCCTTGGTATTGCTATGCATGTCTTTTCTCAAGTGATCGGTCTGTATTTTCCTTATTCACAGTTTTACTGCACTATACCTGTTATACATTTGGATATTCCCATTACTGGATCTGGACCAAGAAAGTATTCTGGTGATAACTTCGTCATAGTTGCAATTTCAGTTACAAGAAACGATTAGAACCTTTTTTCCATTACAATAGGAATTTATTGTCTGTACTAGAATAATCGTTTGAAAAATGTTTAATAATTGCGAATTACATTTAATTTGAATAATCTAGTTTACAGAAATTATTAATGACCATTATATTATTGTTATTTTTTATATTCTAGGTAACAGTGGCCCAGATGAAGCGCCAGGAATCAGAGCGATGATAAAGTGACGAACAACTTCGACCGGACTGAAATAACTATCCAGAAATAAACTTGTAAAAAAATAAAAGATAATAACAATACTTAGAATGCCATCTCGGTGCGAGGACTCAAACTTGAATTGTTTAAATAAAATAATTCTGTACATTTATTTAAATTGTGTGAATTTTAAATAAAATGCTACATTATTACTAAATAAACCTATCAAATGAAAGATATAAATATATTTTAGCACATTATTTTTTTAATAGTAGCTTTATTGGTCAACTTAATTACCTATAGACTAGGTCTTAGTCTTACTATACTATATTACTCAACATTAATTAAGTTATGAGACATAAATAGCTTTAGATAAATTCATCTAAATTACTTCCTCGTTCTTCTAGCACCTTGACTGTTTTGTCATTTTAACATCAATTTTTTTGTTGTTTGAAATAAACTAGAAGATGTATACTGCTGTCATTAAAAGGGACATGCTTATTGAGACAGAGAAGATTTCGACAGACGACGCCAAAAATATGACGAAATATATGTAATCTACTGTTGAAATGAAATTCTTCTTCTTATTTCTTCTCATTGCGTTGCTTAGGCTGCCAAGGCCATTCTGGCAAAGTACTTTTCTGCTTTTCTTTTTTCTGGGTGGTCACGTTTTATGAACCTTCACCGATTTATCTTTCTTAACAACTAACAATTATTGAGGCTATTAAACAGGTTGCTTTAAGCTCTGCGACTATTCAGTTATGCATGCATTCTACGAGTACTAAGCAGCTCTAAGTTCCAATAATTACTGTGCATTTCAAGAAAATGTGATTATGACATTTCAAATTTACGGAAATAGGAGTATAAGATTTTTTGGTGATTATAATTATGTGGACAAGCAATTATCAAATGAAATACATCAGCAACTTCTCCACACTGACACAAATTGTCTCTATTGATTCTGATTTTATAGAGATGTGACAGGGATAAGCGCAATGATTTGATCTGAGTCGACACATGGTGGTTATTTGTTGCTTTGTCAAGGATTTATATTGTTTGAACCATGGAGTCCTATATGGCTGCTGAACTGTAGTGCAATATTCTTTCCCTTTTGTTCTACCAATCGTTACAAATCTTTCTTTCCGTTTATTGTATATAAATTCTTTCATTTTTGGTATAAAGGTTTTATAATCTGTTTTAGATATTAGTGTGGGAGGTAGGATCCGTCCAGCGTTGGCCAACTTGTCTGCTTCCTCATTTCCAAGAATGCTAGTACGTCCGTTTCAGCGTCTATTCCAGTTCTCCTTATCTTCTTTAGGGCCCTTGATGAATCAGAAAATATAACTGCCTTGGCGATGTCATATTGTTCTATTTTAAGTAGGGTAATGTATAGTAGTGTATAGCATAAAGTTCTGCAGAACAGATAGAATGAAAGTCTGGCATTCGACCTTTGTGTCTTAGTTCGCTGACTTCTGAGAATACCCCCACTCCAACCTTCCCGTCTTGATCTTTAGAGCCATCTGTATAAATAAATACACTGTTTGGCCATTTTTCCTTGCAAGATTCACAAAACTTTGTCTAGTGTTAGTCTCCTTTCTTAAATTCATATACTCGACCTTAATAGGTGTAATCTGATCTTCCAGAGTGAATAAGTAACAAGGACGATTTGGAAGAACTCTTACTTGTTCCAGTATTCGAGTAGCATAATCTACTGCTTCTACAAGAGGAGGGGCTGTCTTCCAACTTTCTTGAGCTTCATTATATCTTGCATACAGTTGTATGAGCATGTTTCCAATCGGATTTTCATACGATAAAACTTTCAAAGCCTGCTTGGTTCCCAGGGCCTGTCTTCTCAGATCTAGCGGCAATTCTCCACTTTCAGATAAAAGGATGATAGTAGGGGTGACCTCATCATTCCCAGTGCTATCCTTAGGGCCTGAAATTGTATCTTATCCATTTGATTTAGATCTTTTTTATTGGCTCTGCTCAACAGGCAACTTCCATAATCCAAATGCGACCTTACCGTTGCCTTATAAATCATTAGCTGGCTTAAGTGATCCGCTCACCACCACGTTTTACATAATGCCCTCATGATATTGATTCCTTTTTGCGCCTTGTTACATATGTATTTTATATGACTTGTCCATTTCAGATTGCGATCCAATACAAATTCTAGATGCTTGACTTCAGACTTCCATTCTATATTCAGATTATTCCATTCAATAGATCTCGTGAATTGAAATTACAGACATCAACTGTCATTATCAAATATTATTCTCTCGTTGGACACGGTTTAAATTTACAATTTCATTGTCATTAGGTATTGTTTAACTTTCTTTCTTTCATTATACCTAATACGTGCGCCAACTGTGTTGACATATTAAAAAATAGTACTATTAGATACTAAAAGCTATTCTTTTATTTAAATGACTTTATTTGCGTGTTTGAATTTTTAAATACCTAATTAAGAAATTCTATTGATGAAATAAAACACAAAGGAAAGCCCATTCTACACATAAATATATATCTGTCAGATTTGCCTGTCAACTAAAACAGAAGACCGTCTAGAGAACTGACGGCAGTTCTGTAGGCGACCTTTGGTCTTAGCTTCCTCTACACATATTAAACACTAGTGTATACACTGGAAGTTTTACCTGCGATTCTATCAATTATAGCATTGTGTTTAGTGAAGAAAAAACATGATATTTTACTACAAAATTGTTTTATGGTTTAAATTTCATTTGTAAAGACGTAAACTCATTGTGAAAGTAATATCTTAGGTAGAAATTTGTAAAGTTACATTATTTTTATAAATTTACATAATATAATATTCTTTTAGTGTAGGAAAACCGACAGTTATGTTGCAAATATAAATTATCTCGGCAGATCTGTAGGTTAGATATTAGATAATTATTAAATATATCTAAAAAATTGTAAAATTACATTAATTTTGTGAATTTACATACCGGGTGCGTCTCAAAAGTGACTCACCCCTATAACGTTTTTATGTTTTCAGATAAAAAAGAAAAACTAGATTTGGTATGTTAGTATATGACATAAATTAGTATTGATTGACGTATTTAATTTTTTTGGTCACTTTCTGTTTCACCGGAAATTACTACAACTTTTGATTTTTAAATGGCACCCTCGGTATATTTTTACTTTATTCAATAGAAAATGATACTCTGAAAAGAATGACATATCACATGGCAACTTTTGGCATTTTCAAAAAACATTAATTTTTAATCAAGAAGCCTTGGAAAAATAGATTTGATCATCTAATCAGAGGCGCAACTAAACATATATGTACTTTTATGTGTATATGGGTGAGCCACTTTGAGACGCACCCTGTATATTTTCTTTGGTGTAGGCAAATGTTGTTTTTAGGCAATTTATGTTGTAAAACTGATTGATCTCGTTAGTTCTCTAGACGATCTTCAGTCTTAATTCAGTTCGGAGTAAAAAGCAAAACGGTGCTTTTTTGTCTATACATTGTTATATTACAGTTGAAGGTTAAAAGTTTTGGTGTTATAACAGCAAAATAAAACACTAATTCACCACAATACACGAAAACATTTTCCTTTTTACTGAACGCACGTTTCGTTAATCTTGTTAGCATCATCAGCATATGATTCAAACTACTTTTTAGTTTTACTAGAAATAGTTTTAATCATCTTATTAAAACTATACCTATTTATTTTTCAGCATCCAGTGCAAAAATATAGTGGCTTAGTGTATTGTGGTGAATTAGTATTTTATTTTGCTACATCGGTTTACTTGAACGTTTTGACTCAACAAGTACGTGACAGGAAAAACATTATATACAACATTGACACAAAATATTTTAGAACATAATAAATATTTTAATGGAGAGAAAAAACATTAGTGAATGAATATAATATAGATAAATTTATTACACAGGCATTTGTAGTACAAAAATAATTATATTTTTATAATATCTCTAATATATTTTTTTACTAGATGTCAACTTTAGCGCCTTACCAACTAAACAACACCAGAAAAGCTCAACAAGACATAGTGTTCTTTAACAGAGTACCGAAGGTAGGATCTCAAACCTTAATGGAGCTTTTAAGAAGACTGAGCATTAGAAACGAGTTTGGATTTCATCAAGACCGAGTTCAAAGGGTGGAAACCATCAGATTAGCTCCAGAAGATCAAGCAGTGCTCTCTGGTCTAGTATCCAGCTATGAACCTCCTTCGGTTTATATAAAACACGTTTGTTTCACTAATGTGTCATCGTAAGTAATATATTCATTATTCGTAAATAGGCTCAGTAAAGACACCCTAGGTCCTCATGTCCGATTACTATGCATAAATACTCCCTCCATAATATTTTTATTCAAAAATACTAGTAATCTTTTACCTCTTACCCATAGTAATGACATCAAACCATAAGATTTCTTGATCATTTCTCATAAGTTTTGTGTTACCAAAATAAATACTTTGTTAAAATGCTGGAATTGGTTCAAATTTCGGAAAATCTGAAGAAAAATTAATTTTAATGTATAATTTAAATGCAGTTCAAAATATTTCGAACCGGATTTTAAAATTTATTTTAGTAGAAATCAACAACATAATATTTTTAACAAAATTCTTTGCTAGGTAGATAACAGAATTTCCCAATATTTTCAATTTCTTTATGAACGTTATTAATCCTTATCTTTCTTGCTAAAATAATTAAATTTATTATCTACACTTGAACGCACTCTCTAAAAAACAATCAATAAATTGAAATAAACCAACCACAAAGACATAAACAAAACTGATTAAATTCTCTGTTGTAGATTTGGTCTGCCCGAACCGATTTATATTAATTTAGTACGTGATCCTGTGGAACGAGTAATTTCCTGGTACTATTATGTTCGAGCGCCTTGGTACTACGTTGAAAGGAAAATTGCATTTCCGGACATTCCATTACCAGATCCCAAATGGCTTAAAAGGTAATTTGACTTAGTAATGAAATATCTGTTAACTATTACTTTTATTATTGTTTTCTTTTTCTCTCGAATTGTCGGATAAATGTAAAGCTAGGTTATTAATTATTATAAAGCTAGGTTATTATTTATTATTAAATTAATAAAAAACTTGACTTAACTTAAACTGACATTTCACAAAATTGAAAATATTTCAAAAACATAAGGTTTAAGTATAATAAACCTTAATCAAATTTACCTTTATTTTAATCGTAGAAACTTAAAATGTAATAATATACAGGGTGTTCCATTTAAAAAAATACAACTTTGATATTTTTTACTTATTTGGGACACTCTGTATCTTGTAAAATTATTTTTAAATTGTACCTCTAATAGTCCTTCATCGAACCCAAAACTTACAATTTGTAAAAATCTCATCGTTTAGCTACAATACTCCGTGTCGTATGTGGTGAACAACCCTGTATAGCTGGATTGTATATGCACATGTAATCCGTGTACTTGCAGCTTGCGATTGGAATGATCAATTTCGGATTGGAACTGATTTCATGAACTACAAAAATGGCATTAACCTGCAAAATTTTTAGACAATAAATTTTAAAAACAGAATTTTGATTTTTTTATAAAATCTTCTAATTTGCTGCTCCTGCGTTACAACAATGATTTGATAACTCAAGATGGGTCTTAATTGGGTGTTGTCGCGTGAAAATGTATTTTCCAAGGTGGTATTGAACTTACTTACTTACTGCCATTACTCGCTGACAGGTATCTGACACGCATCAGAAGATGGTTACGCAAGGCATTTTATTTTCTGTGACTGAAAAGCCCGATACGTGATATTATCTCTCTTCTGCACTCCGGACATTCAAAAATTGTTGACTGAGTTTACTATTCTTCTACATTGCGTTCTATTGTGCGCTGCTTTCTCCCACTGATTCTGCATGTTTATCCCCTTTAAGTTTTCATGGAAAATATCCTTGTGTCTTTTGAGTTGTCCACCAGGTTTCCTCTTACCCTCTACAAGCTCACCGTAAAGAAAAGATTTCGGTAGGCGGTTTTCTTGCACGCTGCATACGTAGCCAGCCCATCTTAAGCGGGATTTAGTAATCATGAATTCAGCGCTCTCGCAGCTAGCTTTTTCAAGGACTGATACGTTTGAGACATGATGATACCATTTGATTCTTAATAGTTGTTTAAGGTGTCTCTGTTGCAATTTCTTCTCTGTAAAGCACCCAAGTTTCGCTTCTATATAACATGGTGTTTTTCATTTAATCTAAAGAAATACTTAATAAAGTGCTCTTCGTCACAAAATTGTCGCGCTTCCATTGTCCGGTGTGGTGATCATCAACGAAGACAAAATTTGTTCCAATAATATTCCTTCGAAATGTAAACTTCTTCTCTAGAATTCTCGTTGAGTTACCTAAAAAATAAGTACATTTTACTCCGAATAGAACATGCTATTTTTGAAATGAAACTTCTTTACGCGCGCTGGGAGTAAAAATTCAAGGCCGTGACACACAAGCGCGAGACGAAAAGTGGTAAGGACAGGCTACGGCTTAGAAATACGTAAATATTGATATTTTAATACAAATTTTGTGAAAGTTAATAAAATAATTTATTAATTAGATACTATAGACATAATTACAATACAATACAGACAGACCGACGATTATTTTAATACAAATTTTGTGAAAGCGAATCAAATTATTATTTAATTTATAATTTAACATTTTTTCAAACATGTCCTTCAAATCCCTCAATTTAATAGCTGTTAGAAAGAAGTTTCACTTCAAATATGCGCACATAGTACAAACACAATTTTCTTTTGGAAGTTACGTAAAAAACTGTTTATTTGTTATTTCAATTAAAATATTTTTAAGACCCGGCGCGGCGCCCATAGAAGTGGCGTAGGTATGGCGGTGGCGTGGTTCAGATGCGTGGCGATGGCAATGCCAGTGGAAATAAATTAGGAAACGCCCACCAAGATCACGCGGCAGAGGCGCAGGTCGGGCATACCGGCATACCATATTGGACCATTAGTGGCGCATTGAAAGCGGCGTGGCGGTGGCAATATGCAATAGGTACCTATACCGCGGCCTCCTCATAAGAGCAATGAGAGAATTTATGTATTGAAGGAGGACAGAAAATCGAGTCGAATGGTTTCAAGACATAGGTTCATCCTTGTTTAGTCAAACCTCCTACCACACAAGGATAGGGAATGTAGGGAATGCATTGAAATTCTATAGCCATCTTTTAACATCGGGACAGGAATTTAAGCGGTGCCCTCCGTATAGGTAATTTAAACGTATTTGAGTATAGGCATAAGGAACTCTGTCGAATTAATTGAATCCAAACCATGTTTTTACGACTATAATCGACCAGATTGCAACAACAGAAATTTCCTCAAGATGCAGCCTGGAACGAAATTTCTAAGGAGGGATGCACCCAATACTGTCTTCTTTACATATTATTTAAGTACACTAATGCAAGTACCAAACAGCTTATGCCAGATCGTGTTCTATTTTTTGCCACCTCAGTATCCGTTAAAACACCAGATCGCGACAACACCCCAACCATACCGCTGCCACACCATAAGTCTCTGCCAGTTCTGTTGGCGCTGGGCCCAAACACGTTGTTTTTATTTTTATTATTATTAGCATAATATTAAGTAAATATAGTCTGCACGACGATTCAGGGAGGATTTCGACAGACAATTACAGAAAAAAGGCAGAAGACTCGACCTATCATTGTTCCGTCAATAACAACTAATGGTATTCAAGCACCTATAATTAATTACTCCAACCCAAATTATTACACCTTGAAATGGGACGCAGGGCTGAGCTGTAGCTAATCTAGCTTGTTGTTCTGGAGCCCTCTAGACAAGGATTCGTCGGGAATCCGCTACTAGGCCTATTCGCGTTTCATCTGAAAACATGACATTTTCCCCGTTTTGATTTTGTTCGACCTTTTCGTGTGCCCATTGTAACCGTGTACGTTTTTACTGTGCTCGCAAAGGTCTCCGACAATGTAAATTAACAGAATTTAATCGGCATGATACTTCTTCTTCTTAGGTCGCCGTCTCCCTTCGGAGGTTGGCGATCCAACTGGGAATGATAGTGCGTGAAACCGCACCTCTAAAAATTTCAGTCGATGTTCTTCCGAACAAACGACGCAGGTCCTTAAGCCAGGAGTTTTGCCTTCTTCTCACTGATCTCCTGTCCTCAATTTTGCCTTCAATTGCCAGTCTGAGCACCTCGTATCGTTCACCCCTCATGATGTGACCGACTTACTGTAACTTCCTTTGCTTCACTCACATAGGAGTTCTTTATCTTTGCCCATCCGCTTGAGCACCTCCTATTTGTCACTCTATCGATACAAGAACATCTCAAAAGCATTAATGCAGTTTTTCAATGTCTGATTGAGTCCAAGTCTCAGAACCGTACAGAAATACAGGAAAGAGGTAGCAATATACGTATGCGCAGTTCGAGGCTTAGATCTCGGCTGGAGAAGAGAGCTTTCATGGAAGCAAAGGTACGTCTGGTCTGTTAGGTTAGGTTAGTTAATCTGTTCGCTGTTCGATCTTCGCCAAAATACTAGTGGTGACGACAGTTCGACGTGATACAGTTTGTCTTAATACAATAACTCCCTCAAGCCGGGTTGTACGTTAATGGGCTCCTCCTAGGAATTATTGATAGCTGACGACCTTGTGCTGCAATAAGCTTTTTTCGAACTCTTTCTGCTTGGTCCTTAACATCATTGGTTCCGCGAAACATTTTATTAAGTCTTGAAGTCTGACTTAATTAACTCCTACAATTTCTGCTACTTTGTTTTGTGATAGACCTTGTTGTTACAAACTTACTATTCGGCTTCTGTTAAAGTAGGAAATAACATTTCTTGGCATTTTATATGATAATATCGTGATCAGTATGCAGAAGAGCTAAAATACTACTAATCCGTACGGTTGGAATTTACAAATTCTCATAAAATATAAATAAACATTCCTTATCTTACTTTAATTTTGATAAAGTTTGTGCATACCATGTCAACAATACCTGCATACTGAATATTTACTTCTAAAAATAAAAAGATTCGATGCTCTATTATAATCAATATACAGAGTGGTCCGAACTGTATTCCGGAAACTCCCGCAGCATTATTCTGCAGATAAAAATAAGTAAATATATGTCCTAAAATGATTAGTTTCGGAGATACAGGGTGTAGAAGTTTCTTTTTTATTTCGATTATTTTCCAAATAATTTCTGAAGTGACGTTAATATTTGGATGAAAATTGGTGTCTGGGATTTTTCTGACATAAGAAATTTGATTTTGATGTCAATGTGACCCCTACATATCTTTTAACTAGTTTGAAGAGTAATAACTTTTCTTCCGTACCTGTATAAAACTACCGAGTAAAAAAATATACATTTACGGCGTTTTTAACGTAGAAAGGTCTCTTGGTAAAAATTGCTACGAGTAATGGTTCTCGAGATTGTGGAACGAGTAATGGTTCTCGAGATGGAATCGAAATTATCAATACTTGTCATCATTGACATGAATTAAACATATGATGACTAAATAGTTATTAGACTGATCTCATAAATTTGACATAATTTTGTGTCAAAAGTTCAGAAACTGTTTTATCATCATTTTTTCGCAGAAAAATTTATGATTAATTTAAAAAAATAGAAATTTCCTTAATTTATTATTTCAGTCAAATAACTAATCTACTCAACGTGTTTATTTTTTGTTAATAATAACATGTATTGTAAATATCTTGAGAACGGTTGCTCGTAGCGATTTTTACCAAAAGACATTTTTTACGTAAAAAATTAAGTAAATGTATATTTTTTTCACTCAGTAGTTTTATACAGGTACGGACGAAAAGTTATTACTCTTCAAAACAGTTAAAACACATGTAGGTGGCGCCCCCTACAAATAGGAGTCATATTGACATCAAAATCAAATTTCTCATGTCAAAAAAACTTCCGGACCAATTACCAATTTTCATCCAAATATTGACCTTATTTCAGAGATTATTTGGAAAAAATCGAATTAAAAATGAAATTTCTACACCCTGTATCTCCGAAATTAAGCAATTTAGGACATATATTTATACGGACTTTTTTTCTTATTTTTATCTGCTGAATGTGCTGCCGAAGTTACCGGAATACAGTTCCGACCACCCTGTTATAATCCATCAAGAAGATTGCAAGCCGTCAAATCATTACCTATTCGAACAGTTATAAACTTAGACTATAAACCACAATTGCCTAATATTAAATAAACGAATATTACTACTGCTTGATAGTTAAATTTCTCTTCTGTAACATCATTAATTGTTCGTAAAAAATCACGCGGACGTTCTACAACTCTTAAACTATTTCTTTCATGGTTTTACTTTTACTTTTACTAATAATTCGGGGTGGTTAATTTCGTCTTATATTGAAGATCGTGATGCAACTCACACCTTGCCTCTCACTTTCCATTTATATGATTTCTTCAAATCATAAATGATGATTTTGAGATCTGTAAAGATATTTAGGAAGTAAATAGTAACAGTTTCATCTTCTCGACGCGACGTTTCATAAATAATTCTTACTTAAGTGGTTTCATGCAAAGTATTTAATTGATAGTAATATTCTATTTCATTATAAAAAAGAAGATTTGTATTGGACGTGTATGTTCTAGAAATATGAATAGATTAAGCAATAAAAATGATACTTTAGTTATCTAACAGTCTAACCACACACCTTCATATTGATACAAAGTGAGCGTATATTTTCTTGGTAATAGTTACACAGAAGCAAAGATCCTATAATTTCCTTTGAAATCCTATAATTTCCTTTGATAAAAGTTTGCAAATACTTGGCCCGGACATATTCAACTTCTACTCATTTTCTCTGGACACTATAGTGTTATATCATATTTAGCCTTAAACTTTAACAATGCTTAGATAAGGTGCATTACATCGCCGAATATATCATAGATAGTTCCTCCTAAATTAGATTTTTATATTAAATAAGCTCCATTTTGCTTGAGACCGCGAAGCCTTGTGAAGATTGATACCTACGTCTATGTCTTCTTGCAAGCCTTTAGAATGTGGTGTCCCTCAGGGTTCTGTACTAAGCCCTATTTTGTTTCTGTTTTATTCTTTTCTTGTTTCTGTGCTTATCAACTACATTGCAAATCTAAACATTAACGGTAAAATCTGCCTCTTTGCGGATGATACTAGTTTCACTTGGAGCGGTCCAGATGTTTCGGCACTATAGAATACTATATCCAGTGACCTACACACCATTAAATCTTAGTGCAATTCTAATCTCCTATTCCTCAACCTATTAAAAACTAAGTTTACTACTTTTACTAAGTTTTGTCATATAAAAGTACTATACAACCTTTTGTACTTAATAACACCACTATTGACGTCGTGGACTCTGTGAAATTTTTAGGACTTATTGTAGACAACTCGTTAAAATGGAACTTGCACATCGAAACTTTATCAAAGAAACTAAGCGCTACCTGTTTTGTGCTAAGATCAGTTTCTAAGGAAATTAACTTATCAACCTCTAGAATAGTCTATTATGCCTTTTTTGAGTCGCATCTTCATTATGCCCTTCCATTCTGAGGTACTTCCTGCGCGACAAAATTTGATCGTATTTTCAAACTTCAAAAGAGCAGTTCGATATTTATTGGGACTGAACAGTAGAACTCACTGCCGGAATTTCTTTAAAAATTTCAAAATACTGACTCTTCCTTCTTTATTCATTTTTGAATCCGCTTGCTTAATCCGCAAGCACATATCTGCTATGCCCAAAAGACTTCCTCACAACTATCCACTTAGGAATGCGGAGCACGATCTTTATCTGCCAACCCCGAGCTCAGAACTAGTTAAAGGCTCAATACTGTGCAATGTCAATAAAATGTACAATCATCTGCCTTTGGATATCAAGTCGCTTTCATTCTTTCCTGAATTTCACAAAGCTCTGAAATCATACTTACTGGAGAGAGCCCTATATGCAGTAAACGACTTTTTTGTTGATATTTAATCTTGAACAATTTTGAATTTTTAAATTTTGATCATCTCGCACACTGGTTAAAAATCTAATATTTAATATTTTATAATAACTCTTAAATGATTATAACTTTTTTTGTGTTCTGCTATGTCCATGTATGTTCTATTTGTAATTTTAATGACCTATTTTTTTTTGAATTGTATGATGATTGGTTAGATCTCTTATTATTTGTAAATGCTTTGTCGATGAAGCTATTTTGGCTTTTTGTACAATAAAGCGTTATTTATTTATTATCTTGTTTTTTTTAGGATTTTGAACACTGTGTGTTATCTGGAGACAGAGAATGTCGTTACATCCGAGGCGAAATCAGAGAAGGCATAGGCGACCACAGAAGACAATCCATGTTCTTCTGTGGACATCACATGGACTGTCTACCTTTCAACACTGAAGGGGCTTTGGAAAGAGCCAAAAGAGCCGTAGAAGAAAACTATGCTGTCGTTGGTGTTTTGGAAGAGATGAACACTACATTAACTGTCTTGGAAAATTATATTCCTCGATTTTTTGAGGGAGCGTCAGATGTATATTGGAGTAAGTTGTTTTCTTTCAAACATTCAATATTTTCTTTTATATTATCATGCGAGTGAACAAAGATGTAGATGTAGATGTATAGATTGTATGGGAGGAGGGAAGTTAATCACCGCCACCTAGCTTCAATCTACTGAGGTGTTCATTGAGTAGACAGTGTCCTGCTAAAAACCCCGTGGAATTCTGAAGATTGTTCTTACTTAAATCAAGATTTTTTTTATTTTTCTTGGTCGTAAGCCCGAAACTTCTTCAACTGGGGACTTCTTTAAAGAGACCGTTGTTCGTTCCAGGTTACGGATACATTATACATTAAACTATTCAAGGTTCTTGAGTTTCGCTTTAAGTTATTTTCTGCTTGGGAAGCAGAACGGTTCTGATCCAGTTAGTGGAGTGGAACTCGCTTCTTTTCTAGCTTTATCGTTTGCATTTTCAGTACCTTCTATTTGCTTAAATATGTTACTCTATATTCCAGTATAGTTGCCTACATAGAAAATATCATTTTTGAAATGGGCAAAATCTTACGATTCTTCTGACAACTTCCAATATTTTTGTTTAATATAGAAGAAACTGTTGAAGGACGAACCACTGCATTAAAATCAGTAACAATATGACTAGCTTTGCATGTTATTCTGATTAATCTAATAAAATACTTAAGAAGGTGGGTCGGCATCCAGAGTAGAAGGACTTTATTTTGTTTGCCTAATTTGTTCAGCTTCTCTAGGCATTTTTTACCAACTTCGAATTAATAGTTATTGAGTTTATCGCTTTTAAGCTAGTCTTGACTATTGGATAAGATGTCTATTTATTGTTTCCGATAGTTCCTATTAAAGAAAAGTTGTACGCATTTTTCGATAGCGTAGATTTCTGCTAGGAGGCAGATGTCCATTGGTTCGGAGTATTTAGTTTTTGGCCAAAATACTCCTAGCCCTCTTCTTGCTTTGGTTTTGGAAGCATCAGTATACTATGTTATGGTATGGTCTTTTAACTGCTGAGCAAACGTTTCTCCCTTTCCATTCTTTTTATTGCTCAATACTACATTGAGGTGTTTCTCAAAGTTGTCCATTCATTGTATGTCATCTACTGGGAGTTGGAGAAGTGGAATTTTTCTTTTGAGGATATTTCATAGGGTATGCCGGAGATAATCTTACTGTATTTTTATAATTATTGATTTAGACAAAATTTGACTTTGGCGGTAAATTTATATTTTAAATAAAGTTGATTGTAAATAACGAAAAAGTAGTTTTTGGTCTAATTTTATTTGGGAAACTCGTTTTTTTAATTGTTCATGTAAAAATATATCAATTTTCAAACACTAAATTTTTTTCTGAATTTGTCAAAGGTACATATTTTTTTCTCTATTGCCAAAAGTGCATATTTTCTCGATTATTTTGTTTTTTGACTCATCTCGATAGCTTTATTTTAAAAACTAAACGTTCTCTTAGCTTTATTTTTATTAGAGATATTCGCTTTTGAAGAAGACAGTAACGATTAATAACAATTTATTAGCATCAGAAATATGTCTTTGTTTTTGGTCCAAGTCAACACACCTATGAAATAGTGTTTATTGTTTTTCTAATGTAACTGTCATTGAAAAGTCATATTATTATGGTTTGTGTTGACAGTTACCCTAGCAGATATGGTTGTAAGTCCAGAAGTTGTATTCACTATTGTTGTTTTTATTTAAAAAAATAGAGATCAACTTCTGAACTTAAACTTTTCATAAACAAATATCTTTAATAAAAATGTAATAAAAATACAGCTATTGAGATGAATTAGAAGGCAAAATATCGAAAAGATTCACCTTGATATGATTAAGCGGTTTTTAAATTCCTTACTTTGTTAAACCATTCCAAGGATGTTTCAAAGCTTCGCCAAAATAACATTTTCTTTTCCTTCGTATAGAAAGATGAGGATTTTCATTTTTAATTTAACAAATAGCTAAAAAGAGAAATAACTGAGTTACACATTCCTTAAAAAAACATCGATATCGGCAAACTATATTATATTGAACAAATTGAATTAAACTTTAAAATCCATTTATATATATATATATATATATATATATATATATATATATATATATATATATATACTCACTTATTCTATTTTTTTACAGATGAAATAAGCAGATACAACCCTATCAACAAGAATAACTTCAAGCCGCCTGTAAGTGAAGAAGTGAAAGAAATTGTAAGGAGGAACTTCACCAAAGAAATAGACTTTTACGAATTCTGCAAACAGAGACTCCATAAACAGTATCTGGCACTAAAATTAGATAAATCATAGTCAACTTGTATTTCGAATCGTTTATTTATACTGATAGATTTTTGTGTTTGTTGCTGTTTTGTTTGTCAGTAGATATTGTTGTTTGTAGATTTATGTTACTCTATATATTTGCAAAATTCCATATCAGTATTGTATTTACTGTTTTTCTGGTAAAACATGCTTTTATTTATTGTAAATTATGCTTGACTGAAAAATTGTCTCTATTAATATGTTTGTAAATATTACATTTGAACTAGTATTTAATGTATTACAAAGGAGGGGGGGGGGTTATTCTTCTTGAAATTAAAATTTCTATAAAACGTACCAAATTAGGGAACTTGTCAAGGTTTTTAAAATATGGACAAAATCTTGTTCTAGATATAATTCTATATAATAATTTCTTGTCAATATTTTATGTCAACCATTTCATGAATAAATTATAGTTGTCTCTCCGTTGCATAAAATCATTAAATATATTTTTATTAGATAAAGGTGCCTCAAGAATATTATAACGAATATTTATGTGTTTATAGTATCATATGGTTTAGTGTTATTTTTGATTTATATTTAAAAGTGTTGTTATAAAATCATTTTCTATTTAATTTTAATTTTTCGTCTCATTAGAATTATTGTAATAACACTTAAAATATTGTGATTTTATTTTGGTAAACTGTAAATATATGTTTAAATATAGTATAGTTAATAATAGGATTTGTATGCTTGTTTTATAAATCAATTCAAAATAAATGTATTTCAATTAAAAATACTTTTTATTTACAAAAGAACTTCAAAAAACGAACTATGTGATTGACTTTTTTTACCTAAAAGTTATTTATATGTGAGTGTTTATGCTATTTACCTATAGTACTTTTAGCCCCCGACTAATTCTAAAATAAAAAATTCTACGCAATAAACATTTTTTTCTAAATACTGTTAACAATAAAAAAAATTAGTGTAAACAATCCCTATTAGTATGGCACACTTCTCTTAATGCCATTAAGCATAGAACCGTTGTTTGAAAGAATTGAGAAGATATACGCAACAAAATAAAAACACTAAATCACCACAATATACTAAAACACTTTTACTTTCATATTGACGCCCGTTTTGCTAACCATGTTAGCATCATCAGCAAATGATTAAGACTCGTTTTCAAATTATTTTTTTAATTAAATCAGTTTTAATTATCGGCTGATGATGTAGAATATAGAATGGGGAGGTATACATACCCCTCTATAGTTAATGGGCGAATTCGTGACAAGGATGATTTGTACACATATAATCGTAACACATCAAACACTTATTTCCTCTAATTCGAAGCGAAGGCATATTGAAGACGGTGTGGATCTGAAAGCGATAGTGTTGCCATAAAATGTGTAATAGCTGTAATACGTTTGACGAAAATATCTTTGGATGAAGAATCCGCGTTTACGTATTGAAAATTTATTCGTTTTAAACATAGAATAAACAACAAAAATAAACATTCTTTTATGGGTACTGAATATATGTCGTATGATCGAAAAAAGTCGTTTAGCTGGCTAGGAAATTATGATTATTGACATTTACCATAATATTGTACATATGAAATATGAGCAATCTTCATTTCCAAGCCAACTCTGACGTCGTTCTTTGTTTAATCATATAACATTATATTAAATTATTTAATGATAGAAAATCGGTATTATTAACGTACTGTACTCAAAATCCGTAAATGTACGTATTAATCAGTAGTTCTGACAACACTGTCTCCGGCAACCACTCACTCTGTCGACTGAAAGCAGAACTACGGTATTCTTGATGCGCTGCGCTGTAAACGACGATTAGCGCGCAGTGGCGCAGAGCTAAACTAAATCTCGGAATTCTCGGATAGGCTGACGGTAACGCCAGGTACATCTCGGACAGGTTTTGTCCCACGAAATCGTCCATAAGGTTACGCATCTTCTTATTTCTTCAATCAACGATAGAACCCTTCTGCAGCGTTGTAAAAGCAGTCGCAAGAATGGTTGCAAAGCAGTGGGTTGGCAACAAATCTCAAGCATGGCAGAGAAATTCTCCAGGGCAGAGAAAGGCGAGAGAGTTCAATAGTAGAACATTCGCCAAAATTCACGGCTGACCTGATAAGCTAAGACAGATACTCAAAGCTGTAATGCTCAACATTGTTAGTACAGGGCTGCCATTTTTTTTATGTCGGTGTGACAGTTTACCAGATGTCCGATTCTCTGTGGTACTAGACAATGATATGTCATTGATGAAGAGTTACATGAAGGGTTCAGTCTCCAAGTTGATGGAGTTTTTGAAAACGATATAGGCCTGGAGAATAGATCTGAAACCACAATCCCATATAGCACGTCCAAATGAAATTACGTTTCTACAAGGGAGACACATGAGAAACAACATTATGTTAAAGTGAACCTAAGTGTTCATCTAGTTCTAACATATACATATGAGATACACGCAGGTTTATATTGATAGAATTGTGTGATACAGTGTTTACTAGTTGTATACCGTATGCACTCTAGATTCTAAAGAGTTTTTTGTAACGTAACAAATAATTATTAAAATGATGAAATCTGACGTCGGTATATGAGACATACAATTATAAGTCATATGTATGTGTGATACTTCGTATCATAGTTGTGCCTATAGTACACACCTTGTAAAAATGTGACGTATACACATAATATAAATATCTATATAGACACTTTGTAATAGTGTACTGTTGTGTCTACATTTTAGCATGAAATGAAGGTGTGCGCATGCGCGGACATCGTCAGCGTAGACACACCGACCAAGTGTATTTTATGTGTCCTCTCTCCTTTCTCCTTTCTATGAGTGGTATGTGTTAGCAGCCATTATTGTTTTATCATTCGGAAGTTCTATATAAATGTTCTGTTTGTGTGTAGTTTAAAAGAGATTGTAAGGTGAGTACAAGCTTTTAATTACCTTGTTACACCTTCCTAAGAGTATTATTAATATTATAGCAGCGACTCTTCCCTTACTCGATACCCAATTTACCAAATTTTGACTCCAATGAATGAAAACTCCAAATATTGTCGTATAATGATAAAGAGGTTAGCTGAGCAATATTAATTTTATAATAAAATAATAGCAATATAATTTTTTTAATTTGGAAATAATGAAAATCTAAATGGACCAGAGAAAGAAAGATTTAAACACTTCAAAGAACTTCTTACATTGATATTCGGTAAGTTATTGATGGATCAATATACAGATATGTTTAATATTCAATAATCAGTTTCATATAAAATTTAAGGGTGAGATTGTTAATCTGCAAATAAAATACAATAAAGTCCAACAGAGTGCTCGATGAATGAGTATGCTAATAAACCAACTGCTTGGAGGGAAAAGAGGAGAAAAAAATAACTAAACGAGGTCCACCAAATCGTGGCGATATAACAGTGTTTACCATTTTAGTATGCTGTTATACTGGGTACTTATATTTTTAATACATTTTGATACAAATTCTTTTCTTTTACAGTGTTTTCTTACTTCTGGTTTCTGCAGTGTACATATTTATTAATATTGTGTTATTTGCGCTATTGCGTTCCATGATATAAAGAAATATAAGAATTTTATTTTTTAACCACTTAACCCATTTTATAGAAGAAAACTGGTGCATTTAATACAACACAAAATTGGAACAATTCTAAGGCTACTTCTCTTGAACTTACGATCGAGATACTTTTGAAAAATACAAAGTTTTGCCTTCCTAATTTTCGTTCTAAAAAGATATAATTGGTATCATTGAATAAATATTTCTTAAAAAGAACGAAAAGTTAGGCATCAAAACTTGTATTATTTCCTAAATTCGTTCATAAGAAGTAGTTTTATCTAGCACAAAATAATAATAGATACTAAGCAAAATACATACGTATACATGTGGTAGTCACAACTGCAATGTATAAACATAGTTTAAACGTAATACACAAGCACTGTGTATCCTACGGTACACTGTGTATCCCTTACTTTGTGTATACGTAAATGCTATACTGTGGCTACATTGTGAGGCGGACGTTTAACCTTTGTGCATACGTGTTGAACTGCAATGTGTAAACGTAGCATCTTTACATCGGGGGAATTGTGTCACCTTGTGTCTACATCTAATAATGTAAACACATCGTAAATGTGATTTGATGTGCTGTATGGGATAGATCTGAAAAGGTCGCAGTGGAACAGGCCGCATGTATTCTTTAACAGAAATAGAATATTTTGGATTGAATACTAGTATATTAATAGTTCCTTTAGACAAATTCAGTAACTTATTCATGTAAAAGACTAACTAAACTACTCAGTCACTAAAAAGGCGGAGAAATTAGGGAAACTACAATTTTAAAAGATAAAAGATTTATTTTACATAGAATATATATTTTGATCTAAACGCCGCTGTTCATAGTGAGATATTATTATTAATAATTAGAGATTAAACAAATTATACATTTTCTAATATTGTTAATATAGACACTGTATATATCTGTATTGAGATATAGATTTGAGTTTCATTCCGTTTCAAAAATAATTTAATAAATGTTATAATATTTCTTTCCACCACTGCCAGGGATTACTTTTCACAGCCTGATTCACAGATAATAAATATTTACATACACTTTAACATTTAAATAAAGAATATTACAATAAAAAGCTTAAATTGTCTCATTTCAAAATGTATATCACTAAACAAACTTTTTTTTAATTATAAATTATTCTCCTTTTTTAGCAGTACATAATAATAAATTGACCAATAGTATAACAATTAGATATATATTCATTAAATATACGTATATGTACAGTAAAACGTAACGTCAGTCTCTACTTTTGAGTATAATATAATTAATCAAATACAATAATGAAATAATTAATTTAGAATTTATAGTAAACACAGATCTTGAATTTCCTTTAGTATTTTCGGATTCATTATAGTATTTTATATATACAAACATATAAAAAAGTTTATATTAAGTTCCAATGAGTTATCGAATTGAAAAATACATACATAGTATAATAATATAGTTTTGAAAGTTTTAATAAATGCTTTCTTATACATATTTAAAACTCTGTATATAGGTATTTTCGATAACATTAGACGTATACAGGGTCCGGCAATAGTGCGTCGGGCATCTGTAGCTCCTAGAATAAAAAACTTGAGAATTTTGTTTAAGTGCAAACTTAAAGTATGTACCATTATGTATTTCAGGAAAATATTTTAACTTCTATAGGGTGGCTCAAAAAAGTGTGAGTGGACCTGGATGATTTTTTTTAAATGGAACACCCTGTATATTATTGCACTTTTGGCTTTCTTTCAGATCACTTTCCATAACCCTAAGATATGAATAAATAAATTTCGATAGTTTCAGAGATATTAAAAAATAAATAAAAATATATATTTTCAGCCCTTCTTAAAATTATTAAAAATACAAGAACTGTTCT